ACAGTCTTGTCTTGAAAATTTTTCAGACACATGTATCACCATCTTCTATTTAGAAATTTATTTTAATTATTAATTGTTACTTTAATAATGTTCTTTATGAGTTCTCCTGTACAGATTAATTATATAATGTTTTCCGTGGATATTTTGGGTTTATTTATTTTCTGTCCTTCAATATAATAGGAAACTTTTATCCTTTGCCATTGTTTTAACCAATTTTTATCTATTTTATTTATTTTCGTTGTAAATTTTTTATTATAAATTCTCATGCTCTGTATATATAATTGGTTTCCAAATCAAAAACTTCAAAAAGCAAAAAGATGAGACGTCTTTGTCCGATCCTAGTCATGTCCTGTTCAATAAGAACAAGATCATCAAGAAATCCTGATTATTAAGACAAGATCAGGACATGATTGTTCTAATCCCGCCCTTATGAACGTCCCTAGGATCAAGCAGGTAACATGTAGCTTGGTGTATTCACATTTACGTTATCTAAATGAGCCAACCCGGCCAGACCTGCCCCGAAAAAGAAAAAAACAAGCAGGCTATATGATTTCACAGGTGAGCTAACCCGTGCCTGCTGCTCGTATAATCAATATTATTCAACATGATGAAGTTGGTAGTAGCTAGTAAGGTGGCTTCTTATTGATCAAAGATAGATAGATACATATATAGGATTATATTTTTCAGGCTAAGTACAAACAATGTCACATTTGCAAAGGCGTTGTTGATTAAGGTCAGTGCAAGTGCAGTGCTGTGGCATGGCCCTTGCTCCATATTTCCCTAGGAACTCAATTGCGCAGTTGAATCCTCCACTGCTCCCTCCACAACTTCCCTCCAACCTCATCTCCTTTGGACACAATTTCCCACCACCTAAACAAAAACAAGTTCGTTTAGTTCCTGAAATAGTTTTTTTTTGGTATCTGAAACAACATTTTACAGGCATAAATATCTGACAGATAAAACCGTCTTCATCAATAAAACTCTATGGACCAAGATAACTGGTTTCAAATTTCAATAACAAAAATCAAAATAAAGTTAAATTTCATGAACTCAAAATGATATTAATCCTGTATGTGTGTGTATATCATACCTTGAGCTTGAGCATAGGGGCTAAAGAGAGAGAGAAGAACTAAAATTAATAGAAAGAAAAGAGGTGCAAGCTTCATGGTTTTTGTATATTGTATTGTGATGAAACTGGTGGATGAGTGTTGCAGCCAAAAGAATATGTATGTTTATATACACACCTAGGGCTTTTCACCATGGAAAATGATTTAAGACTGTTTATAAGTTTTGATATGGCTGTGCTTTTTTGATATAATCTTAAATCTCTGATTAACTTGGTTCCCTAATTTGTGATTATTCTTCGAGACCTTTCATTGCATGTGGCACAATTTTCGTTTGTAAAGATGCAATTGGTATTGCTTTATATATGTCTTATCCAAAAAAAAAAAGGTATTGCTTTATATATGGTCTTGATTAGATTTGGTGGCCATCTAAAGATAAAGGATATTCTTCTTCTCCCTTTTTTTTTTTAAAAAAAAAAAGAGATTTAAAGTGTTCACATTTAACCTAAATGATTTAGATTTCATATTTTTGTTTTTTTTAACTTAAAATATTATTTCTCTGTAAATTAACAGTAGTTGTTACATGCATATTTGACTTTATTCGAATGTAAAACATAAGCCTTAAAGTTTAATTATTTTAATTATAATTGGTATGTATATATTTTAGGGTCAGAAATGATTCATGGTGCCATTCTTTATCTTAACCACGTAATGTATATACATGATATCTTTTGTAGTTATATTATAATGCACATTCATTAATCAAATAATCAAAAGCCACAACTACTTAATTAATTAATATAATCTTTCATCATAGCCAGTACCTTGAGCATCAGCGCGGAGGCAAGATAGAAAAAAGAACTAACAATAGACATAAAGTAAAGGACTTTTCTGTATTGGAAAAGGATTAGATTTTATTACATTTTGTAAGTTCATGAACTAATTCCCAAGATTCAAAGAACCTGATTTTTACTTTCATAAAACATCTTGTCCGATCCTATATGCTCCCCATTTATAAATCCAACTTATTAAGGGCAAGAACATTCATATGTACTAAATGCATCAAAGATTCTTTGAATTTGGGAAATGTACATTATTATATTAGTATGAATACAATGTAATACTATCACTGGCCTTTAATATAAGAGTCAGGTAACTAATTTGAGGAGATTAAGAAAATTAGTTAAGTTGGTTAATCATGGCACGTATGTGTTGACTTCCCCAAACCACCCTCTTTAATCATGTGTATCGAGACTATCCTTTGATGAGAACTCCTTACAATTACTAGGGATGTTTTAGAAAAAATATTATAAATTTAAGAGACAAAATAGATGAATTTAAAATTAGGATCAAGTTTAATTTTTAACTAACTCTTATATCAAGGACACAAGGTAATATATTTATTGGTTTTTAATAATTAGGGGCCTATGAATAAAGCCCATTTCGAAGTCTCACACACACACACACATTTGAATCTAAGTGAATAAGAGGACTTCTCCCCCAATTCTCCTCTTTAAATTAAACTTCAACCCTTATTTTCATACTAAAGAAATCATTTTTTGTAGAACAATAATTATTACATGAATAGTTGAGAAATTTTTTTGTCCGAAGGTTAATTAGTTGAGATTGAGCAAAATCTAAATGTTGAAATATACTCCATTTGATTTAAAGTATAAGATAAATTTTATCCATTTACGTTTATCAAGAAATTAGTTAAAATCACTTTAAAACAATAAAAATGTAAGGCATGTATTTTTTTTCCAAATATACCCTTATTAATGAAGAAAATAAGTAAAAGATGTAATAAATGAATTAAAGAAAAAAAGAAAATATACGAGGGTAAAAATGAAAAAAAAATACTGATTTAATGCTTAGACAAAAGTGAATATTATTTTATTAAAAACTCAAGCTCCTTTAACAACGTTTATCTTATATTGTGAACCGGAGAGAGGATCATTTACCATGAGATATCATTACATAACTTTTTTGAACGTCATTCTTGGTTCGTTTGTAAATTATTTTGATCACCCAAACGGTATCATAAGCATAGGACATATCTTCATCAACTTGGACCCTAAAGCTATCAAATACCAATCATCAAACTAATTTTAACGCTTCTTCCTAATTCCATTCCCGCCTTCATTTCATGCGGTGTCGTCGCTTTCTCTTGTCGCCGTCATTTTTCTCTTTTCTCTTCTTCTATTCCACACTCTCCCTCATTTCCTCTTCTAGTTCTGGAACTTTCATTTGGTAGTCATTAGTTTTAGTTTTGGAGGTAGTATAATTAAATTTTAATAACAACTTATTTTACAATCGAAATAACTTTAGTTAGTAGTTGTAACTAATAATAAGGATGTTGCTTATTAATCAAACACATAGAGACAGATACATAGGATTAATGTTTCAAGGACAAACAACGTCACATTTGCAGAGACGTTGGTGATTAAGGTCAGTGCAAGTGCAGTGCTGTGGCATGGCGCTTGCCCCATACTGTGCCAGGAATTCAAGTGCACACCCGTAGCCTCCCCTGGTCCCTTCACATGTTCCATCCAAAGTCATCTGCTTTGGACACAAATTCACACCACCTAATACAAAAACACATCCATTAATCAAATCACAACCATAATAACATTAATTATAATCCCTCAATATGTTTCAATAATATTGAATCAATACTTAACAATGAAGCTACAACATGTATGTATATATGTATATATCGTACCTTGAGCTTGAGCGTGGGGACTAAAGAGAGAAAGAAGAACTAAAATTGCTAGAGAGAAAAGAAGTGCAAGCTTCATGGCTTTTATACACTGTATTGTGATGAAACTGGTGGATGAGTGTTGCAAAATGAATGTGTATATTTATATACACACAAACACGGGGGCTTTTCATCACGGACAATGATTAAAAGACAATGTGTATTTATAAGTTTTGATATGGCCTGTGCTTTTTTATAATCTTAAATAATCTTGATTAACTTGGTTCCCTAATTTGTGATTACTCTTCGAGACCTTTCATTGCATGTTGTACGATTTTTGTTTGTAAAGATGGAATTGGTATTGCTTTATGGTTTCAGATTTGATGGTCATATCTAATATAAAGGATATTCTTTTTTATTTTTCTAAAAAAATGAGATTTAAAGTTTTCACATTTAACCTAAATGATTTAGATTTCATACTTTCGTTTTTTAACTTAACATATTAGTTCTCGGTTTTTACATTCATGTTTGACTTTATTCAGATATACTTAGGGGTGTTTGGCATCTTATAAAAGTACTTAAAAAAAATATTTTTACGAGTCAAGATAAGAATTCTTCTCACATATTTACCTCAAACTTCATAAAATTACTCTTGAAAAGCGAATCCAAACACTCCTTAAATATGGGATCTTGTGTTATATCTTCCCTTCATATTCTTCCTAAATGTTTTATAGGGGCATAGGCTAAAACATCTCATGTTATGCTGCCAATTATAAATCCAATTAACTTCTATATATTAAGGGCAAGAACATTCATATGTACTAAATGCGTTAAGGATTCTTTGAATTTGGGAAATGTACATAATTACGTTAGTATAAATACAACGTAATATGTTTGTTAGTTTTTAAAAATTGGAGGCCTTACCCGTCTTAGTCATAATAAAAAAAAAGTTACAGATACCCACAAGAAAACTTTTGGAGTAAAATTAAACTTTAACCCTTATTTTTATACCAAAGAAATCATTTTTTGTAGAGCAATAGTTGTTACATTAATAGTTGAGATCTAGCAAAAGCTAAATGTTGAAATATACTATCATTTACCATGAGAACTCATTTCATAACATTTTTGAACGCCATTCTTCGATCGTTTGTAAATTATATTCTGATCACCCAAATTGTATCATAAGCATAGGACATATCTTCATCAACTTGTATCCTAAAGCTATCAGATGTCAACCATCAACTAATTTTAACGCTTCTTCCTAATTCCATAGCCACCTTCATTTCATGATGTGCTGTCGGCCTTTTCTTGTCGCTGTCGTTTTTCTCTTTATTATGTGTCACTTCGATTATCACTTGTAACAACTTGAAGAATCCACCACACTTTCTGTACATATCATACACCATCCCCACTTGGCCTGCACGCTCCAAGGCATTAACAGATGTAGCCAATGACCCTGCCATGGCCGCCACAATGTCTACGCAAGACGAACCATGGCTCACTGATGCAGCAGAGCCTAAAGCTGCAACGCCAGTGAGCAAAGGACCTAAAATGGCTAAGATTGTTTTGATCTTGAGAGCCAAGCTTCGTTGCCTCTCGTAGACGTCCTCCATATCTTTTCTATTCTCCACTTCTAGTTCAGCTGGAACTTTCGTCTGGTAGTCATTAGCTTTAGTTTTGGGCCACCAAGCAGCAGGCTCAAACATTGATGGGTAAGCTTTGTCAAGAGCCAAAAGCCTCTCCATTGCGCTGGGTTTGGATATCGGAGTGAAGCTGCTTGGACAATGTAGCCGCATTTCCTTGTTCCTGGGCCATTTCTGAGGGCTGAATCTTGTTCGTAATGAGAAGCATCCCCGTGGCGGCAGTGAACAAAAGAGTGGACGATAATTTGAGTGCTGTATTGTCAATGGCAGTGTTGGACGGAACTATGGTTTGGATGGGGTCATTGAATTGCTGAACCAGATTGGTAGATGATGGAGGCAGTTTTGGAAGTGAGATTGGAACTCGTGCGAGTTTTGGCATACTGTTTGCAGCATAAGCATCATGAACTCTCCTTCGACAAAAGGAAAAGGAAGAAGAAGATGGAATTGAGATTGGTAAAGAAGACATTGGAACAATTTGAAAGGTTTAATTTCTCTTGGTGTGTTACAGTTGGAGGTTGAGATGCTGAATGAAAAATGGGAAGGACGAGATGTCATATATATAGAGAGAAATAGAAAAAGGAAACCCAGAAGTCAGACTACATAAGAAAGTACTTTGACTCTTGAAACATGAACATGTGGACTCGGCCTTTTCTGGCTGATATTCTCTTCTCTTTGGTGTTTACTTTTTTTATGTCTGCTTTTTAATTAGTGCGTCTCTATATAAAATGAAGCTGCGAGTCTATAAGCAGTGATTTGAATTAAAGAAGCCCCTATAATTTCTACTAACCTTTACATGTCCCCAAGGCGCGGAATCTTATATCACATTCAAGGTCAGAAAAGGATCCTACAATATTATATATATATATATATATATATATATATTCCCCCTCTTTCTTTCTCTGGCTTCTCTTCAACGTATTACTTCCTCCTCCTTGTTCTTTCTTCTTGGCCTCCGTGGCTGCTGTTTCTTCTTCTTTCATCTTCATTTCAGTCGTTTTCAACAATCTATGCCAGGTAATCATGAAATTTTTATTCTTTCTATGGCCATCATCATGGAATTTTTATTCCACACTGTGTGATTGAAATTCAAAAAATAAGCAGCAACTCTCACCCCCACTCTCTACTATAAAAAAAATATATATGTGATTAACGACAGAATTTTTATTTAGTCATAAAATTCAATTGGTGACAAAATTTTTTCATTACTAATTGTTCTGTTACTAATTGGATTATTAACACAATTTCAATTCCATCACTAATGATGTAATTATTCTGTTGCTAATTACCAATATTTTCATCGCTAAAAATTTACAACAAAAATTAGTGATGAAAATTTCTGATCAGAAAATTCCATCACTAAAGCTTTACCAAGACGGATTAGTGACAGAAAAATTCCTATCACTAAGTTTAGTAACAGAATTTCTATTGCTAATTCGTTAGCATATAGTGACAGAATATTTTTCTGCCACTAGTTAATTTTGTTGGTAATAAGCTTTTTTTTTTTTTTTCCAGTGGCCACAAATCCAAGATCAAATTTATTGACCTAACCAGATATCTTCCAATTCATTGATGAAAGTTCCGAGTCTTAACACGGATCCATTCTATTGGTTACAAAGTTTAAATACTAAACTTGCAATTTCCAAGTGGTGGTTCCTATATCATTAAAAGTTTAATTCAATTCTACCGTAAGCTAAGGAAAAGTTCTGCGTACAAATGCAATATTTTTTGTGTCAAAATAAGAATATTATTTCTTGTATTTCGGGAGACTTTACATAATAAAGAATAAAAGAATGCTTCTGTGTCCTATCTAAAGTTAGGATCGACGAACTGAAAAAAGTTAGTCTTCAGAAAAGTTTGCTGGCAAATTCATCCATGGCCATTCCTTCCGACTCATAGGCAACAAATTTTGAGGCAAGTCGTCTGAGTTGCGAAACGCTTCTCCCCAATTTCGTTGCCACCTTCATTTCAAAGAGCTCGCCGTTCTCTCTTTTCTCGCAATCTTTCTCTTCAAGCGTTGTTTCTATGCTCTCTTGCAGCAACTTGAAGAAACCACCACAGTTTCTGTACATTTCAAACACCATCCCCACTTGGCCTCCATGCTCCAATGCATTCACAGACGTCGCCAACGACCCAGCCACGACGGCCGCAATACCTGGCCAAGACGAACCGTGGCTGGCTAATGCAGAACCTAAAGCTGCAATGCCAGTGAGCAAGGAACCTGATGTGGCTAAGGTTTTGTTGACGTTGAGAGCCAAATTTCCTAGTCTCTCATAGTCCTCCATGTCTCTTCTCTTCATCACTTCAAGAAGCTGCCACATCTCCGTTTCCAGTTCTGGAGTCCATCCATTATTCGTTTCCTCCTGCGATCTGGCGACTTGCTTTTGGAAGTCATTCGTCTTGTTACTTTTAGGCCACCAAACAGCAGGCTCGAACTTTGAAGGGAATTTCTCAAGCATGGCTCCCAAGAGAGGAAGTGGATAAGCCTTGTCAAGTGCCAAAACCCTCTCCATTGCACTGTGGACGTCTTCCTCAGTTGGATTTCCAAGAGTTAACGTCGTTTGGATTTCCTTCTGAAGCTGTTTGAACAACCTAGTGGCGTTTCGTTGTTCCTCAGTGAGTTGTGAGGGCTGAATCTTGTTCATGATGAGAAGTATCCCTGTGGCGGCTGTGAACAAAAGAGTGGACGATAATCTAAATGCAGTATTGTCAATGGCAGTGTTGAGACCAACCATGGTTGTAGCAGAAAGGGTCATCATATTTACAGAGTTCAAAAGAAGAGAGTTCCAGTTGTTTCGTTGCTCGCCCATGTTGTTGTGCATTTCAATTCTGTCGGAGACAGCCTCTAAGATTGCATATAATCGAATGTTGGCCTTGGACTCGTCAGGTTTGGAAAAATGTTGGAGCATTTGTGCGTTGCCGACATCTTTATCTGCTGGAGATATTGTGTATAAGGATCCATTATCGGATTCACGAACCAGCTTCGTAGTTGAAGATTTGGTGGGTATTTTTGGAAGTGAGATTGGAGCTCGTGAGAGTTTTGGCAGACTAATGGCGGCGTTAACTCTTCTTAAAGAAGAAGAAGAAGAAGAAAGAGTTGAGATCTGTAGAGAAGACATTTGAATAATTTGGAAGGTTTTCTCTTCGGTGTGTTCCGGTTGGAGGTTGAGATTTCGAATGAGAAATGGGAAGGACGAGGGATCATATATATAGCGGTAGGAAGAGGGAAGATCGAGAAAAGTCTGAGGAGAAGAAAATATTGACTATTGACCTTTTCTGGCTGACATTTTCTATATACTCTAATATATTTCATGTAGTTATACCTTTCAATCTCAAAAATGTCAGCTTTTTAATTAGATTTGTCCGTTTCAATATATACGTTCGTTGAAAATTTTGAAGATAGACTCGTTCTATTATTAATTAACTATAGACTGCGCAAATCAATGCGTCAGATAGGTCCATATGCAATATAAAATAATAAAGTATGGGCCCACAATCTAATTACAAATGAATTTAATTAATTAATAAGTTCATTAAAAAGAACAGAGAAAAATAGTGACGTGTATGTGAGTGAAATGTAATCTTGTTATATACTTATATTTATATTTATCCATACAGAAAAAGGTCTATCTTATATTTTTGGAAAAGTAAATAATTTAAAATTAGAAATTTTTTGACCAAAAACCATATTCATGTTAAAAATCACACAAACCTATATTTTTAATGTTTGAATGGTTTTTATGCCAAATATTCATTATCATATAACATCAGTCTTATAGTAATGCGCAAGAATGGTAAGTATGTTTTATGCGACAAATAATTTATGATGTCATTCTTTATTTTAACCACTTATTTTGTATCCTATGCATCACATATTTTGTAAAATTAATATCCAAATACTTAAGCTTTGACACTTTGGTAAAAGAAGAGGACGGAATGCTAAAATCTAAGTCAAATCCTATTAGAAGCAAAGAAGACCAAAAAAAAAAAAAAAACAAGGCATTGTGTCATATTTTTAAACCTCACAAGTCAAAGGAATATTTACATGCCTTTCATTTGAAGGATGTATGTAAATATAGATAGTTATTTGCAAGAACATTCAGGTGTAATAAAATGCATTTAGAATTGGAGAAATGTGCAATATCATGTTAGTGGAAATACAATAAAATACTCTTCTCATCCCTAATTTAATATCTAATTAATTAATTTGAGTAAATTAAGAATGTTAGTTAAATTAGTTAACTTAGAAAAAAAATTAATAAACATGTGAAATATATTTTATATATAAGACCAACATCAACTTTTAAATTAAATCTTATATTAAGGACGGGAGGAGTAATATATTTATTACTACCTCTAATTTTTAATATAAAAGTTAGTTGACTAATTTGAGTAAATCAAGAAAATTAATTAAATTAGTTATTTGTAGCAAATAAATGTTGTCTTTTCTAAAATATTATTGCTAATGAAGTGTGTTAGTTAAAACTACTATTATTATAAGAATCATCTTAAAAAAATAGATAAATATAAAAAATAAAATAAATTGAGGTATTATATTTAGAATTAAAATAAAAATTAAACAAATTCTTATATTAATAAGAAGAGGTAGTAGTTTTTAATAATTGGAGGCTTCGACGAAGCCCATTTCAATACGAATCAAAGTGAATGAGAGGGCTCCTCCCCCGTTCTAAATTTTCTCCTGCTCTTACATAGTTACAATCATATCCGTTAGTTTTATAACATAAATTATTTAGATTCATTTTCATATGTTTATTTTTATTTTTAATCTTAAAAAAATACTTTTCTGTAGAACGGTAGTTGTTACATTAGTGGTTGGGCTTTATCAAAAGCTAAATATTCAAATATATTACCACGAGATCTCATTTTATAACTTTCTTATTAAACGTCATTTTTTGTTGATATCATAATTACTTTTGATTTTTTTCTTTATTTTGATCACCCTATACAATACTCCTTCTTACTTGATACCTAGCTTGAATGATGAACTCGTTATACTATCTCCAGTCCTAACTATAAGAGCTAGTTGACTAATTTGAGAAGATTAA